CGCCGCACCCAGTTCAGGGCAGGTCACACAGGGCCCAAGGTCTGCCCCACAGGTGGACTGGCCAGGGGGCAGAATAGCTAGCCCTGCCACTTCCAGCACCACGAGGATCACCAAGGGACCACACTAGCTGAATACCAAACAGTACAGCGTTCAGTGACACGGTCTAACCGTGGGAGGGCGCTCCAGGGGGACCCTGGCTGGTGCGTGGTGAGACAGACTAGATGAGAGCTGGAGGCAAAGGCAGCTCTCCAGGGGGTGGAGGGTAAGGCCCAGAGTGCAGAGGCAGGGCACAGGGCTTTGCCAGGTCGTCACCACAGAGCCCAGGGCCCTGCTCCGCTGATGCTGCTCTAGCTCCTGTGGCGGCCTTGGCCAGGAGGTGTCGTGCCTGCAGGGACAGACCCTCCACATGACCTTAAGAGGCACACTGCCCAGTGCACAGGGCACACACCCACGTCAGCAGGACCTTCCTCTTCACCATGGCCTTTGGGACCTCGGCATGTCTGGTATCCCCAGTCCCCACAGGGAGTGCCCGTGGGAGCAGTGCCTGCCCCCAGCCCGGCAGTAGTAGAGATGCACCAGAGGGGAGCGTCCCCCCTCAGGGATCGGGGATTTCCAGGCTGATTCCCTCCTGTGGTCAGGGAGGTCCCCGGAGATCTTGTGAATGCCACAGTGCCCGCCCTGGCGTGAAGCTCAGCCGCGGCTTACTCACGGTTCCTCATCATGCGTCCTATTAGTGCCAGGCCAGGGGAAGACTGCTTGGGGGGAGGGCACGCAGAATAGAGGTTCACACAGGTCAGGGAGAGGGCTTAGGAGGTGTCCTTGGCCAGTGTGGAGAGAAGCAGGCACCTGCTCCCTGACCCCACCGGATCCCTGGGCAAGCGCCAGTGGGTCTGGCGAGCTAGGGAGCAGTGTCACCCTGTAGATATACCTGCCGTTCCCATTGCATGATCAGACACCAATAGATAATGCCTAGCAATGTCTGGTTGAGAGTCTCAGTGTTTGTTCAGAGCACCAGCTGCTTAGCTAATTCTCTTTCCACAGAGTAACCATCTGAAAACATTTTCTTTTTTAATCTTTGTAGAGTAACTCTTAGTTCATGGGACACAAAGTCTAAAAAGCCATGTAACTGTACCAAATCCCAGTGTCTGAAATTGTAAGTAATCACAAATCCTTCCTTATTAAATATGGAATAAGGGTGTTAGAAGGCAGCGAGCGAGCACAGTGCAGGCGAGCGGCGTGGCCGGCCGTGCCCTGCTGCACTTGATCCTCCACGCCCGCCTGGGCTCCAGGCAGCAGCCTGGTGTGGATCTTTTGGTGCTGACCTCAGAAGGGCCCTGCCCACCCTTTGAGGGTGTGGTTTCTTGGACTTTGGTTCACAGCGCTGGCCCCTCTGGCAGGGGCTGGACATGTCAGTCATCTTGGTTGAGCATTAACTATGACATGTCCACTTCCTATTTCCTAAAAGTCTGATGAATTGGTTTTCTCTATATTGAAATCTTTTTCAGAAAAATCTCCCCCAGGGGTACTGACTCCCAGGAGGCTCCTCCAGGGGTGGTAGGGCAGACTGTGAAGCCACACTGGGGCTGCAGGAGACAGGAGGCTGGAGAGGAAGTGGCCTGGCCGTGCCTGGCAGATCCCTGAGCGGGGTGCCCTCTCCCTGCGGGTTTGGTGTGTCTGGTGTGCCTGCCAGCCTGGTCCCACCGTGGAGGGGAGCGGGTCCTGGCCCGTGCTGCAGCCTGACCACAGGCCCCTGGTGTTTCCTTTGCAGAGCTGCTGAGAACCCTGAGAGCTGCACTGAGGGACATGAAGTGAGGGCACGCGTGGGTGAAATCCGGACGTTTCCCAAACTGTTCACACACTGACTGATTTTTGTGCACAGCAGTGCCGGTATCTGGGTCGAGTGGGCCGGGCTGCTCTGGCTGCCGCTGTGCTGAGGAGGGCCGGCAGAGCAAGAGGCAGTGGTCTGGGCGTCCAGAGTGTCCAGGGCGGCAGCCACGCTCCTGAGCTGCTGGTGGGGTTTGGGGACTGGGCAGGTCAACAGCCCTAGGGGGTTGCAATTGGGGCTCTTCTCAATTTTTATATTTTTTAAACATTTATTTTCTTCATAATTAGCTTATTAAGGCATCAAATGTAAACCCCACTTTTATAACAGGATTTCTTGAGATAGGAAGTGACGTGTTAACTTCTAGACCTCTGGACAATCATTTCAGTACGAGATTCGGCCCTCTGCCCTGGTGTTAGGGGTCTCTTCCTCTTTCCCGAGCACTCCAAAAGTAGGAGTTGGTTTTATACCATGGGAGTAGATTATTCTTCACGGCAATTTTAACTGGCTCACATGTCCACTTTAAGCAAGTCCAGACTCTGCCCTAATCCCCTCCATTCCAGCTCCATTTTTGCTGAGGTACTGGTGGGATTGGGCGGAATCCTTCCTAGTGCCTAGTTTCTGTTGCCCTCAGCTGGCTGCTATGGAAGGTGGGGCCAGTTCCTGGTGCCACTTCTTCAAGGGCTGTATCCCTCTGTTAGCCAGGCTGCTCTTTGCCACCAGCACTTGGTGGGAGGGAGGGAGGAGGCTGGTGATGCCTTTTGTATCTCCTGTTGCTTATTCACCCTTTCAGTTCCTTCTTTTGTATTTAAAAGATGGAGTCATTCATGCTCTACAGCTTGTGCTTCTGGTTTTCAAAGCCCCTGGGCTGGGTTCCTGTCTTGAGTTCACCCTCAGGCTTCCTACCTCCAGAGCTGTGGGACTTTGGATGTGCAGTTCATGGTTAGGACTCTGCTGTGGTGTCTGTGGCTTGGCCTGAGGATACACTCCTTCAGAGAAAATGTGTGTGCTTCTGCCTGGAGCTCAGTGGCTCTTCCAACTTGGACGGCTTAAAATTTGGGGCTAAATTTTTTTTTCAGGCTGAGCATATTATAAGTTCAGATTTAAATAAATGAGCCCTCCCCCCCACAGCCAATGCTCTGGGATACAGATCCTTGCCATTGGTTGGGGGAGCTTTTAAAAATTTAATCTATTTATTTAGCAGAGTCCCATGAAATAATTATGCAATTTTGTGTGATTTATCTATTTCTTATAAAAGTATCTAGTGACCTCTCAGAGTGAATCTGCCTATTTCTCCTTGTGATCCCACTTTGGGGGGGGTGTCGGACCTCTGCAGCAGAGGACATGGACGTCGTGATCGCAGTCCTTCCATGACTGTCCATGACTCCATGTCCCAAGCCACCGGCCTCAGCACCTTCTTCTGTGGAGGGCTGCACCGTGCCTTCTGTGGCTGGTGTCAGTAGGGCACACTTTATGTATTCTTTCGTTTCCACACTTGCTGTGTGGTAGTCCTTTTGCTTAGGTGTGCCTTCTGCAAGGTAAATACAGATGGATATTTTTTTTCATACCAGGGATTGAACCCAGGGGCACTTAACCACCACGAGTCACATCCCAGCCCTTTTTTAAAATTTTGAGACGGGGTCTCACTAGGTTGCTTACAGCCTTGCAAAGTTGCTGAGGCTGGCTTTGAGCCTGTGATCCTGCCTCAGCCTCCTGAGCCGCTGGGATTACAGGCCTGCACCACCCCACCTGGCTACCGCTGGATTTTTAAGAAAGCAAATATGGGTTTGGAATATAGTTAAGTGCTAAGATGGCCTAACATGCTCAAGGTCCTGGGTTCGACTCCCAGCACCATAAACATGTGAACAAAAGGCAGGTCTAGTGGTCCCCATGTTTAACACTTCTTGGATCCATGGGCATTCCTTGTCTGGTGGTTAATACATGCAGGCTCACCTGTGCCATCTTCATTTCCTGAAGTCGTGATATTTACATATTTAATTTCCTTTTTCACTCAAATGGCAGCAATTCCATTCATTCTAGTCTGCACCTGGCTTTTAAAAATTGTGGGAAGATTTGCACTGCATCAAATTCAGCATTCCAACACTTTAAAGTGTGCGATTGGGACTATGAGGACAGGCGAGGTGCTGTGGAGCTCTCCACCACCGACTGCAGGGTCTTTTAGCATCCAAGCAGGAGCCCTGTGCCTGTTAAACTCTGCTCCCAGCCCTGGGAACTGCTCTGCATTCCGTCTCTACACTGGCCTGTCCGAAGGAGCTCATGTAAGTGGAACCATGAAGTCTTTGCCGCTGTGACTGGCTTATTTAGCTAGTGTTCCTAAGGTGTCACCCATGGTGAAGCGTGTTTCAGAACCTCATTCATTTTCTAGGCTGAGTAATATTCCACTGCATGTGTAGGCTGCATTTGTCACCTGCTGTGGGTGGACACGGGGTTGCTCCTTCCTTTGACTGCCACAAGTGCTGCTGCCCTGAGTGTAGGTGGCATGTATCTGAGCCCCACCTGCTATTCCTCTGTGCATGCCCAAGAGGGTTGCAGGGCCACGAGGTGCCTGTGTCACCTCTTGAGGAACTGCATGCTGTCTTTCCCACAGGCACCTTTTGCACTGCCACAGCAGCGCCTGGCTCCACTTCCTTTTGTGTTTTCAATTTCTGTTTTTTCTTTGCCCTTTTTTGCCTGAAGCTTCTGCCCAATGGCAAAGTGGAGGGAAGGAGAGGGAGAGCGGTGTGTGGGGGGCTGCCCCAGAGCACAGATGGGCAGGGCCTGGTCCCAGCAGGCAGGCGGCTGTGCTTGCTCTTTCACTGTCACTGCCCAAGCACTTTGGAGAGCCTGTGATTCAGGAACAGGGGGGAGACAGCTGCGGGCCTGCCGCCCAGCAGTCAGTGTCTAGCTGGGGAGGCCTTTGTGAGCAGGAGCACCTCAGGGATGGCTGGGCAGTGCAGCCAGGGAGGCTCCCTAAGGAGATGCGTCGGCAGAGGCCGAGTGAGGAGGCTGCTCAGGGCTGGGGGCAGGTCCAGCAGGGAGGCCAGCAGGGAGGCCAGCAGGGAGGTCGCAGGAGGATTTGGTCTTACGTGCTCAGGTTCCCAGCCAGGAGGTAGCTGGTGCCCCATGTGGGAGTCCATGTAGCAGAGGAGTGCTCGAGGTCATAGGATCAAGAGCGAGTGGGGGAACAGATAGGGACGGCCACCTCTGTGCATCTGGAGCCAAGGGAGACTGGCAGGTTGGTGACAAAAGCTTAGACATCCCCAGCATGAAGTTGCGAGTTGTGTGGCAGGCAGGAGTGACATGGCTTGCATACGCATGGAGTCCAGAGGCCAGCTGTGGAGATGCGTTGATGACATCGCTGTGGCCCCGCTGTGCCTCGGGAGGTGGCATCCCTGCAGGCACCACCTCTTCCCTGGGGTCCTTCTGTTTGTCCTCGTTGGGGCTTGTTAGGTGCCATGAGGCTGAGGCCAGTGGCTTTGCATTCTGGAAGCTCAGGCTGTGCTTGCCCCATCTCCCCCTTCCTCCTCCCCAGGCGCTGTCCACCTGTCCATACCCCTCACCTCGTTTAGTCTCTGCCCTTCATGCTGCATCTGGATCTGACTTTTCCTTTTAGTATATTTGTTCTCACTCTTGATCTAGTTATTGCGATCCGAACAGCACACAGGCGTGAAGAACCCAGATATGTACAAGGCTGGTGACAAAATCCAGTTGTTCTCTGATCATTTCTCCTTATTTTCTGCTTTCCAAGAACTTTCAACTCTTTTATCTGAATCTTTTAATATTTGCCCCATAAGTCTAAGTAACAGCTGGACCTGCTGCTGCTGGCTCTGCAGCTGGGCGGGCTCTGTCCTCTGGCCCAGGAGGATGTGGACCCGCCTCCTTCCTCCCCTCCTTCCTCCCCTCCTTCCT